AGGATTTGTGGACTTGAGACCTGGGCCACTAGTTGAACCTATGCTGGCATGGGAAGAGATATGAGAGGTTCTTTGGAATGGCAGTGAAGTCAGTTCATGAAACACAGAAATGTCATAGAAATTATTTCAACTAAAAATGATTTTATTTAGCTTGAATTCCCCTTTTTAAAAAGATTTATTTATTTATGCATACAAGAGCTGGGGTATAGGCCAGATGTGCAGGGGATGAGAGTACTCACCAGAGACAGAGTGGGGAGCAGAACAGGCAGACTGACTGAAAAACACTCCTGAGGGTAGCAGTGGGCAGCAAGACAGGAGAGGTCTGCTGCACCATGTGGGTAGCTCCCTGGCTGGGGATCAAACTCATGCTGTAGTGACTGCAGATAGCTTCGTAGTGCCGTGATTTAACTCCTTGCGCCACCAGGGAGGCCCCTTGAATTCCCTTCTTATTTACCAGACAGGGCTCTAATTCATGTTGTTCAAATGAAAAAAAAAAAAAAAAAAAAAAAGAACAGAAAGTGTTACGGTTCATTATATTCAATCCTACATTTGGAGTGTTAGAATTTAGACTTAAAGGAGGTTTAAGAGGTAGTCCAGTCAGCCTATGCATCATGCAGAGACCCAGAGAGAACTCACTGTAATCTTCCAGAACAAATTTCAGTAGTTTCATGGTAAAGTATTCACATCTTAATAATAGAATGTGTGTTAAAATGCTGTTAAAATGCTCATGACAGGGCTGGTGTTGGGAGTGGATGCTGTGGAGCTCATTGTTGGGAGACTGTCATCTAGGTGTGATTGTGGCAGCAGTGGTGTCTGTGTCCTGGTGACTCCCTGGCTTGGATTGCTAAGGCAACTTGGAGATACTTAGCCCTTTCAACCCAAGCGTAATAACAGGATATATCACAAAAATTAAAAAAAAAAAAAAAGCCAATTTAGAAAAAAAGGTAGGTTAACATCTAGGAAACTGACCTGAAGTTGTATTTGGCCTGAGTCTGGTCTTTCCCATCATGCCCAGCGGTGGTAAAAGGAGCTCAACTTCACATCTGCATCTTCAGTTGCCTGAGAAAGTGAGAGTGTCCATAAATTTAATATATTTAATCAAACCTTTATCTTCCTAATACAGAAACTACGGAAATAATCACATTATTTTTTTTGTAAACCAGCTCATGTTTAATTGACATTTTAAAATTGTACAAGTGATTTGACATCTGCTCTCCCCCCATCCCACCATACTTAGCCTCTTAAAATAGAAAGGAAAGCACCAGTCACAGTCACAGGTGTGATAAGTTTACCCTTTCAGTTCCAATTTGTAGCACACATATTCCTTTGAAATCCCAGACAGATCTGGTGGTGGCTAAGAGTAAATTGAGACCTCAGAGTCGAAAAGTTCACATTCTCTGAGCATTCTGTGTTGCAGTGCATTTGTGCAAAATTGGTACCTCCCTAGCGCTGGAAAACTTTAAAATATACCAGTAAAAACTTCATTCCCCTTCAAAAGAGAGAAAAATAATCACTCCTCAAAACCCAGCAGATCTGGGTGTGAGGTCGTATCCTCCGGTCCCATCTGTTCAGGCTTGTTTTTTTGCAATGGACCGAGAGAGACCAAAACCCAGCCTGAGTTATCAGAAACAAGAGAGTGACGGCTGTGGAGGCAGTGACCAGGAGCAACCAGGTGGCTCCTGCACCTCTCACACCTCTCATACCTTCATCCAAGGTGGAAGGCTGGAAGGGAAGGCCTGGAGGGTAAATGGCACAGGGAGAAAAGCAAAGCAAACTAATCAGTCCAGGCACAGGGACTGGCAAGTGCTAGAAAAGAACTTCAGAAAAACCTGTGGTCCTTTCAGACTCACTATTATTAAAAATCCACATACTGGTGTCAACAAGATTCTGCCTTACACACACCAGAGACAAAGAAATTCCAATTCCTCAGAGAAGGGAATCTGCGGTGGGCCCCACCCTTGGCAGAGTGGGTCCAGCCTTCCCTGGCGGGAAAGGTGAGGAAGGAATAGAGCTGCCGCAGCCTCCTTCCAACCCACCCACCCCTCTGGATGGCAGAAGGCTCAGTGGCCTGCAGCAGCCTTTGGTTTGGCAGGAGATGGATGTGGTGAAGTGAGCTGCTCAGCAGAGGCTGAGTTACTCAGGGCAGACTTCAGGAAGACTGTCTTGTGGATGAGTCTGTTGCTTAAGAAAACCACCAAGGAGAGAAGAGGTGTGGATGAGAAAGGTACACTTTGCCAAGGATCTTTGCTTCATTGGCACTGATAATGAGTAAAGGGAAAAGGATAGAGAAGGGGCAGCCACCGGTAATGTATGAGGACTGCACTGCTGTGAGCAAAGCCGATGGCAAACCAAATCCAGAGTAGTAAGACTGAGTCCTTTCTATGTTTGACAGCCGCTGGTGCATCTCAATTCCTTTATCAAACCAGTGATAGTCAAAGCAGCCTAGTGAGTAGAGGAGACATGGAGAAGACTAACCAGCTCACCAGTAAGGTGGATGGGAAGGAGATTCACAAACATTCCCTGGATGAGGAAAAGAGCCTGTAGCAAAAGGTTAGAGCATATCAGGAATTATTTTGCTGACACTCAGGAGTGGGTGACACTTCTTCCCTGATACCTCCGATCAACTATGTCTTGAAACCAGAGTGTGCGCACACAGCTTTGCTAAGCACAAACAGGGGAGCACCCAAAGCACACTGAAAATTGACATGAGGAGGAATCCCAGCCATGACCAAGCATCTCCACGTGGAGGTGGGTCACCAGTCATTTGGGCGGTTACTGACTGAAGCACAGGAATAAACACTTGATGAAACAAGAGGAGACGGAACCAGAATACTCCACCATTGCAAGTGCAGTGTTGGAAAAGGCTACCAACACGCAGCTCACGCTCCTGCTTTCTCTTTATACTCTGGGCCCTCCTCTGTGCCAGCACACTACTGGCGCTTCTTCAATTGTCCTCCTCTCTCTCTCTTTTTTTTTTTTAAGATTTATTTTATTTTTTATACAAGAGCCGGGGTACAGGCCAGTTGTGCAGGACAGTGAGAGGATTCACCAGAGACAGAGCAGGGAACAGAATAGGCAGACTGATGAAATACACTGCTGAGGGGAGCAGCGGGCGAGACAGGAGCAGTCTGCTGCGCCATGTGGGACCATCGCCAGCCGGCCGGGATCGAACCCACGCTGCAGAGGCTGTGGACAGCTTCACAGTGCTGCGCTCAACCGCCTGCGCCACCAGGGAGGCCCCCTCCTCTCTCTTTTGCTGAATTAGAGCATCTAGTTTTGAGATGGTACAAATTTCCCTGACGGAGTCTTTGATTTGCCTGGCAAGGTTCTGCAGAAAGGTTTTGACTGTCAGCCATCTCTTCACCGCCCAACTTAGCGGAGAGAGAAGCATCCCCAAAGCCCCCCTTTCATCACGAAGGACCCTGCAGCTCTGTGTCTCTGTGTCTCAGGACCCGCCCTGGCCTACTGCAGGCTGCTCGGATCCCCTGTGCCCAGCTACCTCCTCCTGCCCGGGGCCGGGCCCAAGCATAATCACATTTATTTTTGCTGGATACTGAGGCAGGGCTTTCTAAGTGCTTTCATCTTTGGGAACTCTCTATCTCACTTTCCGTTAACACATATTTGTAATCACTGTGATCTTTTTTTGGCTAGTCTCATAAGCTTTCTTTTATCAGTGTATTATCATAGACAAACAAGTTCCAGTGAGGCCAAATGATAAATTCCCTTTCTATCCACCTGACATTTTCTGTGAAGCAGACAAACTGCAGATGCAGACTTATAATGGAAGGCAGAATGCTTAAGTGCTGTAGTTTATCATACCAAGTGAATTTTAATAAAATCAGGAATTGATTTTTATTTATTTTTTAATTGTGGCAACACTGGTTTACAATATGATTTAGAGGTGTGGGATCACCCCCTTCAGGTATATGTTACCACACCACACCACACCCACCACCAAGGCACCCTAACCTCCTCCACCGTCATCCACGCCCCCTTACCATATGCCCCCTTACCACATATGCCCCCTTACCACTATGCTCTCTTCTTCCCCATCCCCTCCCACTGTGGTAGCCTCAGTTCTTTAGTCAGATTTCTAAGGTTTGTTATTGACTTGGTTTTACCAGACTCTTTATTTTAATTCTCTATGGAATCTGCTTTTTTAAAAATTGAAGCAGGACTCAGCAAATTATAGCTTGTGGGCCAAATATGGCACACTGCCTGTTTTTTGTAAATAAAATTTTATTGGATGCCTATTCACTTATGCATTATTTATGCCTGCTTTTACTTTACAGTGACAGAGTGAAATACTTGCTATAAAGTATATGTGGCTCACAAGCCTAAAATATTTACTATCTAACTCTTTATAGAAAGAAATTTACTGACCCCTGGACTAAAGGAATATTTAGATTGTAATATCTCTAAATGCTAGTCACTTCTGTGTTAAGACTATTTTATTTTAAATTGCATGAAAAAATCCTTCAGTTACAATAGATGACAGCTTATAACTAGGTTTGATGAGGGAAAATGCCTAGAGTCAATTGGGTGATTGGTGCTTGCTTTTTTCCCCCTTCAAGTTAAAGATCATTAAAAATCATTATACATTAATTCATGAATGCCGAGAAGATAGCTAGTGAGGCATATATGAAAGATTGCAGTGTGGCCTGCTTATAATTTAGCTGTGCAGTGAGGGTTGGTTACATTATTTCCCTATTTTGATAGTCTTTACAATCATTGTGAATCTTAGTTAATTTTTACATTTATAAATACCATTTATTTTACTGGCTACAGATCAATAAGACTATGCTAATAGTCATTTGGAAAGAACCCCCATATTTCTTGTGTTTAATGGATATAGTTCAGTACATTGAAAATGGATACTGAATCATTTCTCCATCCCAGAATTTAAGCAATAAAACATGGAGGCAGCAACGCTTAATTTCAGGGCAGCTGTTTAAAAATGAGTGATCTTATGTGTGGTTATCTTTATTTTTTTTTGACAGACTTGTGGAAGAAAGCAAACTGATCCCACTCATTTTTGAAGTAATTCTGGTAAGAAAAGAAATGTGCGTCTGAAACTCAAGTGAAATTGGGAAATTTTCAAGTTCTGACCACGTGCTGTGGTCGAATTCCAGCCCCAACTCTGGCTGGTGGGATTGTGCGTCCTAGTCTCACTTCACCTTGTTGGGCCTCCACATCCTTGTTTAAGCCCTTGGCCAGCTCTGAAATTGCACAGGGACATGATTTACAGACCTACCCTCTTTCTACAGATCCTTTGCTCTTAGCTTCTGTGGGGTTAAGCAGTATGTCATCGAATACAGAGAGAGTAAGGTTGGTTTATTGAGGGAGGGCAGAATGGTGACTGCAGTGCTTAGCATGAAGTTTCTGACTTTCAGTATGAAGTCCTCTGACTTTTCAGCGCTGTACCAGATCACCAGCCCATATGTGTATGGGCCCAAAGTTGTCCTCTTAGCTTCAACACACCATTTTCCCTGTTCATAGAATGTAACTTAATGGAAAAGCATCTGTTGAAGACAACTTTTCATTTCTGGTTCCCGTGTCTAGAGAATAGAATGGGATGCAGAGTTGACTTTTCTTATGTATGAAAAATTCCTAGTTAGGCTAAATACAGATATGAGATTTATGCTAAATACTGAGTTGATACTTAAAGTGAGGGTGTGCCCTTAGCCAAAGAAATGTTCTTTCCTTCTTGGGTGAATTATCCTCCTTTACCAAAAAGATGCCTTTCTTTCTTTGTTGTTTTTTTTTTTTTTTTAAGATTTATTTATTTATGAATACAAGAATTGGGGTACAGTCCAGAGGTGCAGGGGGTGAGAGGATTCACCAGAGACAGAGTGGGGAACAGAACAGGCAGACTGGCTGAAGTACACTGCTGAGGGGAGGAGTTGGCGAGGCAGGAGAAGTCTGCTGCACCATGTGGGTAGCTCCCTGGCCAGCTGGGAATCAAACTCATGCTGCATAAGTTGTGGATAGCTTCACAGTGCTGTGCTTAACCACTTGCAACACCAGGGAGGCCCCAAAGATGCCTTTCATAGCAAAGTGAAGGCACGAGGGACAAAGGAGAGGGCACCTCACCAACCAGATCAGCCTAACCCAGCTTGGTCATCAGTAGAGCAAAATCTGTGATAATCTGATAACCCAACACATGGAAATTTAGCTTTCTCTATTTACTATAAAGTATTAATCTGCAAGTTATTTGAGTGCTGATATGGCTATCTGGTGAAAGATTTTTATTTATTAAGGTGACATTAGTTTACAACACTGTGTAGGTTACAGGTGTGGTTTCTCCCCTGAGCAGTGTATCTGTTGCACTACACCCAGCACTCACGTCCAGTCACCATCAAGCAGTCAGGCCCTTCCTCTTCCCTGGTATTCACAATTCTGTTGTTAGAACTAAGAGTTTGCTTTTCTCTTAAAACATTGTTTTTCATAGCCTCAGATCGCTCTTCCTTTGGGGAGAGCTGGTTGGGTTTGCTGAACTATTTGAATTTGGGGGAGAATAAAAGTGGTTTGTATTCCCAAAGCATCAAGTGACGGCTAGATGACACTGAGCTGCTGTGCTGAATGGGATATGCAAGGGAAGAGCCTGGACTGAACTGCTTAGCGTTGTCAATTGGGATTTCAGAGGTAGTATCCGGGGAAGAAATAAAGAAAAAAGGAGATGGAGAAATATGGAGATCAAGAACTGTCTCAATGGGGTTTTTACCAATGCCAAGTGCTATTTGTATCTTTTCACGACTTACATTGCTTGCTAATTTGTTGTGTGCTTGGGTTTGTTTGGAGGGCAGTCTGCACAGTAAATTGCTGGCTTGGCTTCAGGTTGGGACATGGGGCAAGAGCCAAAGCTGTGCAAACTCAGTCATATGCATTGGAAGAGGTTGGTGTAGCAGACAGAGCACTGCCCAACTAGGGCAGGCCTCGAGGGCAAGTGTGACTCCTCTCTGGCTGTGACTGGGGGCCTTGTAACCTGTCAAGGCTCCTTTTGTGACTGATGGAATGTTCTCATTTTGTCCGATGGCAGTCAACGTAGACGCCTAAAATCCCAGATGGGAAATTTCTTCTTGTAGGCTACACAAACCCCTCCCCACTTGATTGGTTTGTGTATAATGAGGTCCTAGCAAGGCTGCATATTGTACAAACAACAGTTCATGTTCAGGTGATTCAATCTGTAAATCAGAGTCACACTGTGATTTACACCCTTATCATTGTACTGTAGCTGTGGCGGGAAGTAGATAGAGGTGATCGCTACTCCCCAGGTCAGGATTTCATGACGTCACAGGCATCTCTGGGATGATGATCTTCCTCCAATCAGAACAGCTCTACACTCAGGTTTCTAGAAGGGTAGTATTTTAAAAAGAGGTCTTGCTGCTAAAAAAAGTAAAGGATGATAAAAAATGCTAAAAATGTCACTTCATTTGGGGACAGAACTTTGGTGTCCTTGAAGAACATTATTAAATTCCTTTCTACTTTTGTCTCTCTCGAGCTGAATAATCTCAACTATCCCCCTGTATAATTGCATTTTTTAATCAATGAAATGTCCTTGTAGCAGTTACCCTTGTGAACTGTTAGCTTGTCCTTCTAAGTTTCTGTCACCAAGCTAAGCATAATGTAGTATTTTATTGATTCAATGATATACATCTTTTTCAGATTTTAACATTCCTGAAGCCGGGGTGAACTTTTCAAATCATTGGCATTTTTAGTTGCTTTCAGTCGGGTGACCTGGTTGTTACTGCCTTAACTAATTATTCCACCTTTATTTTTTTTTTATAAGTGCCTACAAGTGATATATTAATGAAGGTATATGTCTGGTTGAGTCTAAAAGAGCTTATCCAATGAAAATAAAACGAGAAGTCTCAGTAATAGAAACCATGTCATAGTTTAATTGGTAGCATTTGTTCTTCCTTGGTGCTTGATGAAATAATGGGCCACTCAGAAAGGCTGGATTCTGAGATTCAAGGAAACACGGTGTGTACCTTCCCTAGGTTTGCTTTCTGAGTTCCAGGGCATCTGTGGTGTATAATGTATTTATAGCAGCTTCTTGCAGTGACTTGATCAAAATGAGGCGTACTGAAAAGACTGGGAGGGGCCTTGCTTACTGCTTATGTCTTCTGTTCACCCATTAAACAACAGAGGAAACACCTCACTCTTGCAGCTGGTGCTCCACTGTGACCTGCTGATGACTTTTTTCTTTGCTCTTATCCTAGTACTGTTTATTAGTTTCTGTTTGATGTACTGAAAGCCTGGCTAGAGGCTTTATAACTTCCTTTTCTAGAGCTTTGCATAGGATGATGGGATGTGGTCTTCCCGGCAGGTGATCTTTTCCCTGGAATTTTTTGGTGAAGAAAGCAAATCTGTCTCTTTTGATAGGCAGGAATTGCAGGCAGCTGCTCTCTCTTTCCTGCAGGTCTAAAGGAGAGTAAAGAGGAGGGAGCAGAATTCTGAATTTGGTGTCCTATTTGTAGAAAATAGCCATGTACAAATTTTAGGAAAAGCAGACAGTTTTGGAGTTGTATGGCACGACCAAGAACTCCAAGTATGGGTCCGACTGGTTAAATACATAACCTGTTGAAGGTAGTTTTTATTCTTTTGTAAAAAAGAAAATGATTTCCAATTGTGACCGCCTCCTCAGGAGGCACAGCACTCACCCCAGTCTGGACAGCTAATGTCTGGGCCCTCTGAATTCACAGGGCTGGGGGATAGCTCTGTGTCAGCACATGACTGGATGGACTAATAGTAGGACCTATTATGGAGGGAACTGGAGGCTGTGGGTCCAGAGGAGGGAGTAATCCACTCCTCTCCGGGCAGGGAGGGCAGCCTCATGGAGGAAGTAACCTTTGAATGTGGCTTTGAGGGAGTTGTCATGACGAGAGGGGTGCATTTAAGCTTGGAGGATGGTGAGCACTTAACTGATCCTGGACCAGAGACTGTGAAGGAACGTAGGGCACGAGGCTGAAGGGTAGTTTGGGAGTAGATCCTGCAGGGCTTTTCTTCTGTGACTGTTTCATATTTCTTTGGCTTTGCAATTAATCCTTGCTCTTTAATATCAGGTAGTATATGCTATTAAAAAAAAATCCTTAGCCCCCTATGTGTAGTGAGGAGGCAGGTTGATCAGCCCCTGTGTTGGGACTTTGGGGCTTGGGAAGAATCAAGCTAAGGTGAAAGGATTGCACCTCAAACTTGAAACAGGGTGTAAGCTGGATTCTGGGAGTGTCCTGCTAGTTCATCAGTGGGACTTCTGATCAACCACAGGGACATGGGGAGGGAGTGTGAGGCAGCTGGCCTCAGAGGTCTGACCTAAGGACTGAGAGTTCAGCATCATGTTTGGGGCAGGGAGCAGGTGGAATGTGTTTAATCCTCAGCTCAGCTACAAGTGTCCCTGCTCTTGGCAGACCGGTCAGTGGGGGATGCCAGGTAGCTGACTGCTTTCAAAAAGGAGCCTGACCGTTTCCCCCCAGGTGAGAGGACTGTGGTTTTTGTGGGCAGCACAGGGCAGCTGTGTTGGGCAGGAAGTGGAGGCTCCAGGTTAAACTGAGTGGATTCCTGCTTACAGGCTTCAGGGTCTAAGCCCTAAGGCATCCTGAATCTGCTTAATAAATGCAGGCTTCCCAATGAGTCCTTAGGAGAACTTGATAACTTACTTTTTGAACGCAGAGTTGCTGAATGGTTGGGAGGGAAGGCATTGTTTCCTCCCTCAGCCACTTTTCAAAGAGTAGAAGTTGCTTTTAAATGTGTCCTAAGTATGAATTTAAATCGATCAGCCTTTGGATTTTGCTATAACTCTAATCTCTCTTCATTTTATATCAGTGGTTTATGTTTTGGCCTACTTCAGTAAATCATTTTAATGCCCAGTGATATAGACAAACTGTATTTTATTGGAAAAATCTGTATTCATGGCAGATTTTCCAATATGTGCCAAAATATTGCTGTCATGATGTTTTATGTGTCTGTTCCAAAACAAACAATTAAAGAGCAATTTCAGTGGCAAATGTTAGCACTAAAAATGGGATTAGCAATACACTAGCTTGACAATT